TTGTAATATATACAATGGTTGAAGTGAGCTTTTGTATGTATTTCCCCAGTTTTCAACGCCATACTCTAAGTATGGTAAAATCAATGAAGAATACAAAATGCGTAGTGCTTTCTCATCCAAAATATATCTAACCCTTGCCAATATCGATATATTTTTTGCTATTTTGTGCTGAACATATCTGATATGAGATTTCCAGGAGAATTTGTCATCAACTATGACACCTAGAAATTTAATTTCATATACTCGTTCTATATTAGCTCCCCAAATTTTCACTTGCAGTTCGTTATCTAGTCTATGATTCCCAAATACCATAAATTTTGTTTTATCCAAATTCAGAGATACTATATTACTGTCACACCATTTCTTTATCTTCTCAAGTTCCTGTGCAACCTGTCCAGAGAGTTGTTGTAGGTGTTGTAGGAGTTGTTGACAGTCCTCACCAGTCTCCTTGTCTCGGCATGATGCTTCACTGTAGGGATGGTATTAGCACCATGCCTGGTGTTCACCTGACATACTGCTTGGAGTAGTGCCCAGAAAAGTTCAGTTCTTGTCTGATCAGACCAGAGAATCTTCTTCTTCATGCACTCAGAGTTCTTTAAAAACTGACAGAGCAGTCTGTTATAGGCTTTTAACCCCAAGTGGCTTCTGTCCTGCCACTCTGCCTGAATAATGGAGAGCTACTGAGATGGTTGTCCTTCCAGAAGGTTCATCATCTCTGCAGAGCCCTTCTTAAGCTCTGTTAGAGGGACCGATGGGGTCTTGATCTCCTCACTGACTAAGGCCCTTCATGTCCAGTTACTCACTTTGACCAGATGGAGGAGTCCTGTTGGTTTCAAAGTTCTTCCACTTCACTATTAGAGGCCACTGTGCTCCTGAGCTTGTCTCACCAAAATGCTATCAGAGAGGTCTACACAGAATTCCTCAGACTTGTGTCTTGGGTTTTCTCCTGACATGCAGTGTGAATTGTGGGGCCTTATATACACAGGTGTGTGTATGTCCAGTCATTTCAGTTTGCTACAGCTGGACTCAGGTTGTTGAAACATCTTAAGAACTGAGGCAAACAGAAAACCACAGTTTGGTCACAGCCAAGGGTCTGAGTGTGTTTTTTTTTTTTTTTTTTTTTTTGATGAGAGATTTGAATGCTAGATTTTTAATAAACTCACCCAAAAAATGTAAAAACCATTGACTGTATATAAAAACTGGACAAACCCACCGTGACGTCAGCCACTGGTTTTTTGAAGAGTGGTTTTGACGCTG